TCTTCTCTTCAAGACGATTCTAACGATACCCTCGCGTTAAATTTGTATAAATTGTGCAATGCTGAATTTGAAGAAAACCAAAAAAAATAGCAAGCACGAAAATCCCAAGTATCTCCCTCAATTCTCAATGAAAATGCAAACCGTAAGGACACATCAAGGCTTGATTCTACTTCTATTAGCTTCAGGGAAGTTTAAGGATGAAAAGTGAATTATGAAAGGAGTTTGGAGGGTGTTTTTGGCTGTTCAAGCTTGAGGAAATTAGAGGAGTGAGGTCCTCCATTTATATGGAAGCAAATGGGATGCTCAACAGTGTGGAATGATGAAGTTTGGAGGGATTTCGTGTGAAATTGCAAACATGAAAAGTGTGACTCCTATTTTTCTCAAAACTCAACCAAAAATTTTACTTCAAGGTGCTACTCCCTTCTGGAAGATTGTTAAACATGATTATAAGTAAAAACGCGCAAAAATTTAGTGTTTAGAAGCCAAATCATGAATTTCAAATTCTGACTTTGGAGAAAACTTTAGTTTCAAGATACCATCTTTGAATCAATGGTGTTCACGATTTAGGGAACCTTAGGATTTGATTCTTAATGCATCAGAAAGATGAGATAAAAATTTTACAATGTGCAAAGAATGGAATCAAATGGATGCTTGAGCTAAAAGTTGTGATAAGTCAAAGTTGAGAAAAAAATGCTGACTTTTATCCTTAGAAAAATTTCAAGTTTTCTCTTCAATAATGACCTATAATGTTTTGATTCCAAACAAGTCCTTCCTCCAAAATCTTGCTTTGATCAATGACGCTAGCTTGAAGTAGACTTTACAAAGAGCATTGTGAAACTTGAATCAATCAAAAATACCAAGTATTGAAAAAGTTATGGTCTTACAAAATTGGTAAAAATTCATGAGATGACCTATATTCTTTTGCATCCTTAGGGCATCTTCCTTCCATTTTCAAGCTTTGCACATAAAATAAGAGTTGAAGTTCATATCCTTAAGATCATTATGGAAAACTAACGGGCTCAAGGAGATAAAAATTTACCAATTTATGATCTTTTTAAGTCACATAAGGGAATTTTATGACATATCTAGAGGACTTGTAATCTTTCTTCATCATTAGGCATCTTCCACCTAAAATATTCTTGAAACTTTTGAAGTGATTTGTTGATAACCCTTTAAAGAGAATCATGTCTTTGGAATCACTCAAAAATACCAAAATATGAGCAAGATATAGCCCTTATAAGTTCAAAACCCTAGCTCCTAGAGCACCAAAATGCCTTAGAAACCCTTTTCAATTTTGACAAACTTTCTTGCACAAATACTTTTATGTTGTAAATAGAATTTATTGAGGATGATAATGGGAAACCATAGAACCAAAAACCAACTCCAAATATTAATAATTGAGGGAATTACTTGTTATCAAGAAATCAAGAACTTGTCCAACTAGGTCAAACCTCTTCAATCAACTTTTGCATCCTTTGACTTTATTTGACAAATTGAGGCATGATGAATCAAAGTACACATTGTCATGATATTACTTCAAAGCATTTTCAATGATGAAGCTTGAATCTTAATGAAAATTTGTTGAAGAAGTCATGGAAAAAAACTCACGAACCTATAGATCAACTTAATTGAATGTGTTGTGCTCTCACCTATAATATCATAAATTAAGACAAACATTAATTGTATTTATTAGTTAAAAGTTAATTAATACAAAACATATATGATCACAATATATAAATCAAGATGTTGGTGATTCCCCATGAGAAAACATAAAGATAGGGAGAAGAACCAAACCGTAGTGTGATATTGTTGTGATTGAATTGACATGAGATGATAGAGGGATCTTAGGGGAAAATTTTGGGTACAACACTTATGACTGGAAACATATGAATTCTTTAGAGCAAAGTAAATCCCAAAAATGAACTATCTCCCGTAATGACGAGACTACTATTCATCAGAGTAACAAATATCAACAACGAACTATCTCCCATAATAACGAGACTACCATTCATCGGAGTAACAAATCCCAACAATGAACTATCTCCCATAATTGCGAGACTACCATTCATCAGAGCAACAAATCCCAACAACGAACTATCTCCCATATTGACGATGAAACAACTGGCTGAAAATCATCAAAACAATGAAGTCGCCATCGAACGTCTTTTATCCCACAGGTAGGGAAAGGTAAACATCGAGAAAACCCGAGAAGGATGAAATCAAGGTCGAACGACCAAGAGATAAGGGTAAGGGAGTCTGTTACGCGAGGGGAAGGTATTAGCACCCCACACGCCCGTAGTACTCTACGGTATCCACTCTTGTTATCTATCTTATGGGTGTGTTTAATCTATGCTTACTGTCTACTATACTACTGAAGGGAAAATGCATGCAAAAGAAAGGAGAAAAGAATGTAGGGAAAATAAAATTGTGCTCGCATGGGCCCTACCCCAATGCCTACGTATCCGTTTTAAGGAATCAGAGCAGTCGTAGTTCGGCTTATATGTTTTTGTTTGTTTGTATTTTCTTTAACGAATAGTATTAATCTCGCCTTCTGCCGCAACTCGACCTTTGGAGATTTACGCGTCAGCACAGAAGTGAATTAATACGCTCTTTTGAAAAGGGTTTGAAAGAAAGGCCCGAGGGCAAAAAGATTTTTATGTTTGTTGGTGTTTTTGCTTGTAGATAATAGCTAGTTAACCTCAAGAGAGAGATTTTAGCCATTTCTCTATTTATTCATGAAATGAGTCTTTGAGACTTGAATCATACCAAAGCTTAGAACAAGAGAATAATAATGTCGAGAAGAAACCCGATCATCATCTCTCAAACTTAGCCAAGACATGGTTTTTGTCAGTAAATTTTTATGTATTTTTGAAGTTTGTAAAAAAAAGTTTTTTGTTTTAACTGCATATGCAAAGGAGGAAAGAAAGTCACAAGAAGACAAAAGTCACAGGAAGTGGACTTGAAAACCCTAAGTATCCTTGAAAATGGAAACTAACTGGTAATATGCGTGCCTCAGCCTACGATTCCATGGGGTTATAGTTCCTTGAGCTTAATGCTCCATGGTTGTAACAAAAGCTAAGCAAAGAGATGACAAAAAGAGGTGATCCGGGAGTTACCTATCGGAGATCGTCCAATACGTATCAACAGCGGCGAGTAGAAGTAGAAAACCAGAGATACTGATGTAGACTTCAGGTATAAAATCTTTGATTCTTTCGTTTCCTTGCGATACCGTCTGCTGCTTTTTCTTGCTTTTCAAATGCTCGTCCTTCTTGATGTCAATGTTACTGTGAAGTTGCAGCGATGAAGCAATAATGGTGACTATATAAATATTGTTGCAGATTATTGATGAAGAAGGGAGATGAGTTTTCAGAGAAATCTTCAGATGAATATCGACGGGATATTGCAGAGAAGCATAGATAGAGTTGAAGTTGTTGATGGAGGTTGAAGATGATGTTGGAGCACTGAGAATTTTTATGGAGATTTTCTTGGTGTGGATTCTTCAAAAATGGTGAAGAATGAGATGATTAAGAGGTAATAAAAATCCCTTTTTTTGTGTTGAATCCTATTCTATTCTCTCCCTCTTTTTCTATTTGTGATCTCTGGTATATATGTACTGGCAGTTTGTTATAGGAGGTTGGTTAACAAAAATTCTGTTAGGAGGTTAAGATGCAGTTAGAGTTAGTTAGAGTTTGTTAGGAGTTGAGGAAGTTAGTTACAGTAGTTAAGAGATGAGCTGGAAAATCTGTTAGAGGGGAGGTTATGTGTTAGTTTTGGAATGAAGAGTAGCTAGGATACTGTTTAGTTATTTTTCTGCTGGACAGTTAGGGAATATGACAGTTTAATAACAAATTAGTTAGAAATTCTATTGTGAAAGGAGGTTAATGGATTTAGCTAAGTTTGTTGAAGGCAATTTTGTTATTAAGAGGTAATATGCTATGTGAAGAAGTTAGAAGTTGAACGAAAATGTTAGTTGGTGTTACCATGCTGTTGGTAGATGCACAATTGATTCAAACTAAGCAGACAAGTATAGGAAACTCAAAAGATATCCATGAGTTACTACATCAAGGTCCAGCTGCCTCAACCATTTCTTGCTCCACGGTGCTAGGGGTAACCGGGTTGTAATGGTAGTGAAGTTCACCAACATCATCACCAGACAATTTCTTCCATCCAGTTGGTCCCACGTAGTAAACGCTGGCAACTCCACCACTAGCTCCATCACGAAATGTTGCATGATAAATTGCTCTTCGAGCCAGTTCAGAAGCTTCCTCAACTGACATGTCATATTTGTACTCGCTGTCCAATACACCATAAGCATATGGTGAACCAGATCCAACTGAGAATCTAGTGCCTTTAAGTCTTCCACCTTCACTATCAACATAATATAGACCAGGACCCGTTTCATCCCATCCAACAATCATGGTACCGACAGATAATCCCATTCCACGATAAGAGTATAAAATATTTGCAAGTAACTTAGAGGCTCTTGTTACATAAATTCTTCTTTTATTTGCCAACTCATGCAGGCGGCACTTGATGCCAAGATTCCTATGCCAAAATTGGCGATCAGCAGCACCTCCAGCCATTCTCCCAAGCATGTATGGATTAATTTCAATAATTTTCTTCACAGACTGTGATGATATATATCCTCCCATACTAGCCCGAGAATCAGTAGCTACCATAACACCCTCCTTATACCCAATCATTTTATTTAACTGGTTCCAGTCCTCTTCACTGAAATTGAATTCCTCTGTATCCTCTTTAGGAGAGTTATCGGTCCATCCACCAAGATTTCCCCACTTTCTGTTTCCTCGCATTAAGATTTGACTCCGTTGATTTCTCCACAAACTTGTGAGCCAACATTCTCCATTGCAGTATAAGTTCAATATCAAGTTCACGATCTAGATCTTCAATCTCTCTACTTCCGCTAATTGTAACCTGACTGGGGTCAGACTTGAGCAGTGAAGCATAGAGAGAAATATATCTCTTGCGTATCTTAAAACTTACTCCCATGACACTTTTCCACTTGCCTTTTTCATCTGATCAGATACAGCTTTGTAAGCATACTTCCACCAAGACCTGGAATCAACTTTTACTGGCACCCGTGGACGGAAATGAGCATACTTTAGACGTTGATTAAATGTAGCGAAGTTGTCTACTAATTTCATCATATCTCTGTATCCATCCTTAGATAAGCTGATTGTAACATCATCCAAATTCACAACAGCCGTCAGCAATGGTTTTTTGCTATCAGCAACTTCACTCTAATGCAGCTTTGAGTACTTTGCTTTCCCAGTTACCGGCTGCAGAATATATGAGTGTTTTCGCGACAAAGTATCTGCTGGTTTCCCATCTTTAGTTCCAAAATTAAATATCTGAAACCATTCAAAAGGAAGCAAATCTTCCCACAATAATAAAAGTCTCTTTCCCGCTATCATCAACTGTCACAGCCGAGAGTTTTTCCAAACTAACACCAGCTGCGAATGGGTGCCCTGGATTGCTCTCACTGTCTTCGTATATGATGTGAATATTAGAAATTGAAAGCTTCAAATTTCCAATAATGGGGCTGATGAGGGATCCCAACCATGACTTATTCATTTCTGACTGTATTTGTTGTGGCTTCTCCCACAGTTTCAATTCCGTCTCCTGTATTAGGCTCTTCTTAGCTTCTTGGACTGCATCTTCACTACATCCCTCAACTTGTGTTGCAAGTTCAGCTAATAAGAAAATGCGATCCAAATATACTAAAACAGGATCTTGGCCAAGCCTACTCCACGGAACCTTAAGTTTCACTGATCCGAGAAAACCTGCTTTAACCTTCACTGGCAATTTTGTGGGAGAGAACTTTCTAACGAGTTGCCCAATCGACATTTCTCCAAATGCTTTTAGGAATTTCACTTAAACCAAAGCCAAGAAGAAATGCACCCGTAGCAAGTCCAAGTGTATTTGAGCAAGTCATAGCAAATCCCAAAAGACTCCCACTCCAGCTCCTGTGCATTATAATGAGAAGAATAATTCTGAAAAGGCCAATAGATCCCACAATTAGATAGAAAACCAAATTAACATGTACACTAGTCTTCAATCTTTCTGATACAGTGAAATCCCCTGTGTTTGAGTTTTGGTTTTGGTTAATTAATGGTTTTTCATGTGTCGAGTAATTTGTATGAGCATAGGATATTTTGGCATGATTGCTTGTATTGACTTGGATTTTTTTTGTATGAATGTGCAGGTCATGAACTGAAGATGAAGAACTTTGGCATGGCATGGAATTGGAAGTTTACTCATGGAATTTTAACAACTTTAGGACTAAGGAATTTTGTTCAAGTGTATTTTGTAACCGTTTTCTTTTCTTTGTAGAATATTGGTGTAATGGGATTGTAATGAAAGTTTGGTTTGGATGAACTTGAAATTTATAGTGTGAATTGTAAATGACCTTTGAGCTTGAAATGTTGGGTGATGAATTTTTTTTTTTGGACGGAGTTTAAATGACAAAGTCTTGAAAAAATGCTTGAAGATATGAAAGCATCAAATTTTCTTGTAAGGTATTGTTACACTTGAATGAAATTGAATGGAATTGGATAGTATTTTCTTGAATAAATGTTTGAGCGCATTGTGAACTTGAATCTGAAATAACGGTGAACATCTTTGTAATGCGTATGAACTCTGACTTGAAACAAAACCTCACAGTCTGCACTTTACCTTCCAAGAAAGCCATATGAACAATACTTAAGACTCTTTGCCGACTTTAATCCAGTCAAACACTTTCGAACATCTTGAATTTAAATCAAACTTCAAATCCAAATCACACTTGCATTCTCAATGAACTCCTAACTTCAATATTGAACCCAGATCAACTTGAATGACAAATAATTTGAATGGTCAATAAGATCTTGATCCTAAAAAATTCACAACCTTGCCTTTTGTATCATGCCTCATATTCCACGATTCAATCCACAAGTCTCTTATCTTGACAAAGTCCTTCCCTAATTAACGACCTTAAATCATCAAAGATGGATGTAAATGATAATGAAAGAATATGATCAAGATTAATATGAAACCTTATTTCCCCTGATCTTCAATTACTTGAACTTTTATCAATGAATAGAAACCCTGATTTTTAATGAATTTTTTCTTTTCTGAACCAATATTTCTTTTCCTTTACCATACCATTCTTCAAATGCAACTCGAATTCCCAACACATATTAGATGAAAATTCAAGGGAGACCTTGGTCCCAAAGTTAATTTTTCAAAGCTTACTTTAACCGAAGTCAACAGATCTTATCCACATATCTTTGAAATTGGCCCATGATTATGCATCTCAAGGTCTCATAATAGCTTGTAAGCCCATCAACCAGGTATGCCATGCTGAACAAACCCTGCCTTGAATGTCTTGAACCTTGAATTAACTTGCATGAATTCTTCTATGAGAAACCTACTTCAATCCAAACCTACTCGCATCGCAGATAACAAATGACAATGATGAGGACAATGATTTCCTTGGTTAAGGAGAAATCTATGAATTCATATCTTAGGTCATGAACCACGCTTCACAATTCAATCCTCAGCCCTTAGCGATCGGTTATTTCAACTTGAGATTAGTGTCATAAGGAACATCTTACAGATGGATGATAAAGTCTGAATCACAGAAGAGTTCCCTTGATGTGAAACCCTCACAATCTTGATTCTTCGTTCAGACGCACAGAGAAATATCCGGATGAAACATCTTTGAACCATGATTCAACAAAACCTAATTTGATTAACTGAGGAGTAGATGATTGTCATGTCACAGTCATTAATCCTAATCAAATGACAAGCATACTTATAGAAAAGGACGTCATAATTCGAAGCCCACATATGCTAGGTCATGTCCTAGAGTTCTTGACCAGAATGACCTACAATCGGTTGTTTATCAGAAGATAATGGCCTTGCTGCTTGAGGGAGAAGAAGTCCTTTATTGGATATGAGCGCCTTAACCACTATGAAACCCTAGTATCGCACAACCACTGAACTTTGAACCTCAGAGCTATATTGAATGAAATGTATGCCATGTTAGTGACCTAATGAGAAAGATGCAGATGAATGCAAAAGTATAAGCATGAAAGTGCAATTAGGAGGGCAAATTTTGGGGTGCAACAGCTGCCCCTATTTAATCGCCTTCAACCTGAAGGTGAGATTGGCGTCAGCCTTTCGAACTTTCAGGGTGGAGGAAGATTAAATACTAAAAGAACCCAAAAATTTGCGCTCCGAAGCCAATCAGGTATTACTATTTCTTTGGTTTTTCTGTATCTTATGTATTATTTTTTTTCTTGCTAGGTAAAATGGGTTATCAGGTTAGATGTATGTTTAACCGGGGTTTGACACACAGCAGAATAACTTGATTATCAAGGAACAACTGTTGGGATTTAGTAACAAACACCTGTAAGAAAGGTATCAAAAGATATATGCCTGAAGCCTGTAGTAGACATACGAAAAAATATCAGAGACACATATCCGGGGTTGGTAGCGGATATACCAGAGAGAGACATCAAAAATACATATCCGTGGTCGGTATCGGACACGTAAGAAAGAAAAAGATACATATCCGTGGTCGGTATCGGATACGCGCAAAAGAGACATCAAAGATACATATCCGTGGTCAGTATCGGATACGCACAAAAGAGACAGACCGAAGAAAGCTCTTACAAAGATATCAAGAACACATGTCTGGGGTTGGTAGCAGACATATGAAGCAAGTATCAAAAATACATATCCGTGGTCGGTATCGAATACGTACAGAAGACATCAAAGATACATATTCGTGGTCGGTATCGGATACGCACAAAAAGAGACATCAAAGATACATATCCGTGGTGGGTATCAGATACGCACAAAAGAGACAGACCAAAGAAAGCTCTTACAAAGATATCACCAATCGAAGGCGGACTCACTGAGGGAAGAGACCAAGCAAATGGGACTCCTGACAAATGATACTAATCGACGATGGATTTTAACAAATGATACCAGCCAAAGTGGGTTTTTTAGAAAGATACCAGTCGAAGCGGGATTTTGAAAGATACCATCCGAAGCGGGATTTTGAAAGATACCAGCCGAAGCGGGATTTTAGGATAAAGAAACCAGCCGAAGGGGAAATCTTCATCCAGGAATACTATACCGAAGATAGATTCCTAAGAAAAGAACGCCGGTCGAAGGCGAACTTACATATGTAAAGAGACCAGCCGAAGGGGACTCTCAACAAATGATACCAGCCGAAGGTGGATTTTAAAGGATGCCAGCCGAAGGTGGACTTTAAAGGGTGCCAGCCGAAGGTGGATTTAGGATAAAGAAACCAGCCGAAGGGGAATCTTTAACCAGGAATACTATGTCGAAGGTAGATTCCTAAGAAAAGAACGTCGGTCGAAGGCGAACTTACAACTGTAAAGAGACCAGCCGAAGGGGACTCTCAACAAATGATACCAGCCGAAGGTGGATTTTAAAGGATGCCAGCCGAAGGTGGACTTTAAAGGGTGCCAGCCGAAGGTGGACTTTAGGATAAAGAAACCAGCCGAAGGGGAATCTTCAACCAGGAATACTATGCCGAAGGTAGATTCCTAAGAAAAGAACGCCGGTCGAAGGCGAACTTACAACTGTAAAGAGACCAGCCGAAGGGGACTCTCAACAAATGATACCAGCCGAAGGTGGATTTTAAAGGGTGCCAGCCGAAGGTGGACTTTAGGATAAAGAAACCAGCCGAAGGGGAATCTTCAACCAGGAATACTATGCCGAAGGTAGATTCCTAAGAAAAGAACGTCGGTCGAAGGCGAACTTACAACTGTAAAGAGACCAGCCGAAGGGGACTCTCAACAAATGATAAAGGTATGCATATCTGGTCAGAGTTAGATACACAAAAGCGAAATTGATCATCAAGAAACAAATGTTTAGAATTGCTAGCGAACACAGGAACGAGACTAACCGAAGAAAGCCCCAATAAAAAAAGGACGCATTCGCCTAAACAAGGGCGCCAGACAACTGGACTTTGAAGAGACATTGAAAGACTCTTAATCATAAAAAGTTAGCTAGGCTAACGAAAGGAGGACCCGACTGACGCGGATAAACCAAAACAAGGAACCGACTAAGCAGGACCTTCAAAGAGCACTGATAGAAGGTGAACTTTACAAGAGAAAGAGGTTGGTCAAAGCAGACTCTAACAAAGATTTCCAAAACACATTGGGCTTTCGATAAGTTGCAAATACGCAAGGACTACAAATCCCTCAGGCCAGAGGCGGAGTGTTAATTCTTCAAGAGTGGAAATTGTCAGAATTACCATACACCAAGTATGGATACTCAAATACTCGAGAAGCAAGAAAGGTTATACACCGACTCTTAGTCACACTCTAATGGCAAAGCAAACATGGGTAAAATAACCAAAGGCTTGCAACGACAAGCGCAAACCACAGACTTACTGGGGAAATGGAGAATTACCAAAGACCTGACTGGTGGTGAATCCAAACAAACTCTGCTGGGGAAACATAATAGAATTACCCTAAGCTTCTTGTGGAATCAAATCTGAGCGAATAACAATCTGGTTACTGCAAGGGGACATAACTGGCTTATACTCATGCATGTTTGAATTTTTTTTAGCGTAATGCTCCATACAATGGAAATGCTACGCGTTTTAGTAGATGCAATGTAATGATGCAATGTAATGATGCAATGAAAACATATCAATAATCGGTTGCTGAGAAGTCAGTGAACTTTCGAACGATTATTCTTGCACATCTGATTTTTTTGTAGAGAAAAAGCAATTTGTACTTCAATGGGGAACCGAGATTTGAAATCATCAATGTTTAAACGATTGATCTCACTGGGGAAGTAACTTCTTGGGGACAACACTA